GGGTGGGCATGGCCAACTTGTAAAATGTGGTGAAACTCATTTTACAACGCTCTTGCTTAGCAACCAAAATGTTGGCTCAGAAACTCTGACATTTGAAGCACGCAAGTCTTAAAGCTGTCAAGTTACAAGCCCTTCGCCCCCCTAACCCTTTAGGAAACCCCCCCCCCCAGGGGTGTTCAAACTTGACAGCTTTAAGACTTGCGTGCTTCAAATGCCAGAGTTTCTGAGCCAACATTTTGGTTGCTAAGCAAGAGCGTTGTAAAGTGAGTTTCACCACATTTTACAAGTTGGCCATGCCCACCCAGTTACATGGCTAGCAAGCCACTCCCTCAAAGCAGGCCACACCTACAGAAGAGGTTCTAAAAAAATTTGAAACCCACCACTGAGAGGGCCAAAGAGAAATTATTTAAAGCCTTAATAACTGAAGTTCAACTAAGTACATTAACAACATAAAAGAAAGAGCATGAAGCCCAAGAGGTCAACATGGGTTTGGAATAGTGTTCAGATTACTGTAAGAGATAATGAATGAAAAATCTGTCATAATTTAAGCTAAAGGTTTCCCTTTCTAGTCATGTCGGTCTCTAGAGCGTGGTTCTCATCCATTTCTTAGCCAAGGAAACCAGCATTGTCCAAAGACACTTCCATTTTCTTGCGGCCAGCATCATTACACACGGAGGCACATGGAACGCTATTTTCTTCCCATAAAAATGATACCTATTTATCTACTTGCATTTGCATGCTTTCAAACTGCTAGTTTGGCAGGAGCTGGGAGAAGTAATGGGAGCTCACCAATCATGCACTTGGGTCTTGAACCTAGGTTTGTCAGCTTTCCAGCGGACAAGCTCAGCATCTTTAACCACTGAGCCATCGTGCCCCCTCCTGTCATAATTAAGAGTACAAAAAAGAGAATAAGCTTTGCTAGATAATGGGGGGGACAGCAGAATATGAAAAAAACAAAAACAAAAAGGGAATACTAAGAACATTGTGTGTGTGTGTGTGTGTGTGTGTGTGTGTATGTATGAATATGTGTATGTATATATGTATGTCTATGTGTGTGTGTGTGTGAGAGAGAGAGAGAGAGAGAGAAAAGACATTCAAAGCAACTGAGGCATTAGATGACAAATAAGTCAAAACAGTCAACATTCTTGTATGTTTTTTTTAAAGTTACTCATCAAAGACTCTTGAGTAAACTTAGCATCCATGGAATAAGAACCCAAGTCTTTTTATAGATAAGGTAACAGGTTAAAAAGAACAGAGGAGAGAGTGGAAATAACGGAGCAATTATCTCAGTAAAGGGAAGTACAAAGTAGAGGCCTCAAAAACCCTTTATTGGGAATCTATTCAGCTTATTCAGAAATGATTTTAAACAGCAAAGTGCCCAAGTATGGAGATGATAATAAAATGTTTGGGCCGATAAACAACAAAAATAGCACTACAGAACCCTCTAATTATGTCTTTTAAATTGGATGAATGATCAACCAAGTGACAAATGTAGTCCAATTTAGGTAACTTGAGGCAATACATGTTTGGGGCACACAAGCCTTCCTCATAAGAATTTGATGTGGTCTAAGCATTGTAACTAACTGTGACAAAGATCTTGAGATCACTAAACTAAAATAACACTAAAAGAAGTGGTTTCAGTGTGAGGCAACTGTGTAAAAATAGAGCAAAGGATCATGAGGAAAGGGAGTAAACGTATTTTTCAAAATGCCAGCATTGTACTATAATCCCCATTTATGGGATAAAGCTTGATAGAAAGACAATTGAGTGAGAAGATTACTAAAGCATATAAAATCATGCACAGGCTGGAGAAAGTAGGTGGGAGGTTTTTCCCCCTTCCTCTCTCAAAACATTAAGACCAAGGCCATGCAATAAAACTTGTTGGATGATTTAAAACAGACAATAGGAAGCATTTCTCCATATACTGTGTAATTAGCCTGTGGAATTCATTACCACATGGCATAGGGACATCTGGAAGGCCACTATGAGAAATAAAATGCTGGACTAAAGGATGGGTTTTTTGGCTTGATCCAGCAAGACTATTCTTACGCAGGAATGCGTACCAATCAAATTACTCCATTTGGACCACAACTCAGCAATTTGGAATATAGCCCAATTTCATCTTAGACCCATTGGAAAGCTATTCGGATTGATTGCAGGGCCAAATACAAATTAAGAGTTGGAAATGTGAATCTTTGCGCACTCACCGACTTTCACGGAGAATTGACACATGACTATACTTGTTTACCTTTCTTTTCTTTTTAACAGAGGTCTATTAAATGCGTATGTATGGCAGAACTTTTACAAGAGGAGATGTCTACCAAGTTTCAGAAAGTAACTTGGACAAAATAAGATGAAATGTGAGAAGCAGAGTTGCCCCTTCTGAGTGGATCAGAGCTGCCAAATTCAAGTTGAATAGCTTCAGGGATTTTTCTTTAAGGCCAAACTTTTAAAATGTGTTGTGCATTTACAGGAAAGTGAGATTCTGAAAAAGAAATGCATTTTCCAATGTGAACAACTGTTAGTTTTGACTTTTGAGACTACGTCTCTCATATCTTACAGATAGTTTCATGTACCTGGGATGGAAAATTTGCAAAGATTATTAAGTGTTGGCAAGAAAACAAGGAAGCTCTCCTTTCAGATGAACTTCATGGACATGCTGCACCCATCCATGCCACTTATTTGTGCAGCAATAGGAGCATTTGCCATTGTCTTTTTCAACATACATTTTCCAATATACAGTTGGCCTATATTCCCAATATTCCTTGGAGTTATACATTTTCATTGTCAATCACAAAACTCCTTAGTTTCTGCACCCAGGTATGGCCAACCACACACCACTGGTTCTATTATACAGAAAGTCCTCATCATACAACAGTTTATTTAGTGACCATTTGAAGTTACAACAGAACTGAAAAATGTGACTTACGGTCATTTATTCCACACTTATGACCACTGCAGCATCCCCATGGCCACATGATTTACATCCAGATGTTTAACAATTAACACACATTTATGATGGTTGCAGTGTCCTGGAGTCATGCAATCCCTTTCTGCAACTTTCTGACCAACAAAATCAATGGGGAAACCAGATTCACTTAACAACCGTGTTACTAATTTAAGAATTGCAGCAATTCATTTAACAAATATGGCAAGAAAAGGCAAAACACACTTAACAAATTTCTCACTTACCATTTGGGGCTCAATTGTGGTTGTAAGTTCAGGACTACCTATATATTTCAATGTTTCTTGTTTGTAATACCATTGGAGAATCTTAGTAAAATGAACTCTTTTTATTTTCATTGTAAAAATAGTAAAAAGCTGAAAGCATTATGATTTTTTCATTTTCTCCACACTTGATTCCTCCCCCTTTGTATATCAGAGATATATCCCATCAAATACTAGTGAATTGCAACTCTGAGAATATTACTTCTGGGAATTATACTTCTGGGAATTATAGTTCAGCAAATCTAGAGCCCTTGCATATAAAATGCTTGGAGGAAAAATGTAGATTATTACAGAAATACAGCATGCAGGTTTTTGACTCTAACTTAATGTAACTTCAGTGATGTTCAGGCAAATTCAGATAGAATGTGGGGAAAAAGCAATCACAAATATTTCTTAATTCACCTAAGGAATTTGTTGAGATCTCCATGTTTCATGTATTCAAAGACCATGATGAGAGGATCTCCTTCCACACACACTCCATAAAACTTGACAATATGGTCATGCTGGAGATTAGTCAGCAGTTCTGCTTCTCGATGGAAGTCTTTGCGGGCATTGTCACTGGCATCCTTCAGAGTCTACAAAGAAAGAATCAAAAGTTGAAAGGAAGGTATTTATATCAGTGGTGGGATTCAAATTTTTTTACTACCGGTTCTGTGGGTGTGGCTTGGTGGGCATGTCAGGGGAAGGATACTGTAAAATCTCCATTCCCTTCCCATTTCAGAGGAAGGTTACTGCAAAATCCCCATTCCCTCCCGATCAGCTGAGACTCAGGAGGCAGAGAATAGATGGGGGCAGAGCCAGTCAGAGGTGGTAGTAAAAAAATTTG